CTTACTTCTTTTTTAATAACCTACTGACGGATAGCATTTCCTAGACGACGTATGATCTACCTTGGACTTCCGAAGTTAGTCTTAAGCAAATCATTATCTTAAATATGCGTTATTAATTGATCATAAAAAATGCGTTGGCGCACTCCCGATTTTTGACTATCAGAAGATATTTTTTATTATATTATTTGTATGATTGATTATTATGTAAGTGGAATTAAAGCCCAAATTTTTAGTGTTTTATTTAAATGTGTACTATTCGCGTAAGTTACAGGCGGCATTTTATTTCCCCCCTTCTTTAGATATTCTCGGTCGTAACAAGTAGAGCTGTTACAACGGTGTCGGTAGAACAATAACAGATAAACAGTAGACTTAGATAAAGTTGTAAACATAATGTAATTATCCTTGCGGTCTTCGAGCAACTTTATCCTTATCTCGCGAGGTTATCGAACAAATTATTTGACTAATGTAATTGAGAATACGGATCCTTCTTTCTGGATTACGTTTATGTTTTCTGATCGACGTCAAATACTCCAGACATATAATACCTAAGCAAGATTCGATGTCGACCTATTTTTGGCTTGGGATATTCGGAAATCCACAGAATGAAACCAACACACAATTAAACTTGACGGCTTCTTTATTTGTACATGGTAATGCGTAACGGAATTGTAAAATTTCTACTACTTAAGTAACAAAAAAAAACAGTACATCATTTTCATACCAACGTGTACATTAAATAGTTCTTATTTCAGACCACAGATTCAGCAAAAATTGATTATTTTTTAATCTCTCAAATAGCAGCTACTTAAATACTTATAGTAATTAACGGTGACACTATAGAGTGACCATTTGTTTTTAAATATCACGATGGGAAATGAGAATTTATATTTATTTAGAAGTATTAATACTTCCTCCATAGTATAGGGCTAATATCGGAAAGCCGGACGCGATAATATGCAAAAGGAGCGAGTTTAGGAGATAGCGTGTCATGGGTTATCATTTACAACGGCGCCCGCGCCGATTACTACATACGCTATTGTTTTGTCATTAATTGGTAATAAATGCGAGAGAAATGCTTATTTTTTTATCAATTATGCATTTTAGGTTGTAGTAAATAAAAATTCACATAATGGTATCCCAGCACCTCGGAAAAGAAGGGAAGATGACATTCAAGAAGTGACTGTCACGTGGAGTAGAATAGCTCTGGACAGAAATGAGTGAAGAAGGTTAGAGGAGGTTTTTGCCGCACCCGGGTCTAGGTTATTATTATTTATTAAAATAATACAAATTACAGTACTAAGTGTTTGTGTAAGTTTCTCATCACGTCTATTTGAGCGTTCTAAGCATAAAATAGTGAATATACATATAGAGTTTAATACTTTAATTTTATTAAGAACACTAGATTTGCCACCGACTTCGTCCGCGTAGAATAGTTATTTTGGGCATCCCGATTTGTTTTTTTAAACCTCTTTTTCTTTAAAAATTTAAGCTGTTCACTGTCCACGACATCGGTCGCGTCCCATCGTTTTTACCAATTAATAAAAGATAGACCTACCTGTAGTTCCTGAGATAAGCGTGTTCAAACAAACAAACAATCTCTTCAGCTTTATATATTATGTATAGATGAGTATTCTGATTGACCGCTTACAATACTTATCCTTGATTTGTCTTAGCTAAGGAACAGCCAAACTCACTTCCATAATTTCCGAACTAAAGCTTTAAGCATTTTAACATAAGCTTAAATTAAGCTTAGCATTTAAAGCGTTCGAGATGTAATCAACCAAACATAGCTTAATTTACATATAGCCGAGGTGAATGCAATAAATCACACGGACACTCAAGCCTACATTCCGACAAGTTGACATCAATAAATGATTGATAAAAAAGCCATCTCAAACCGACTGAACGCGTCCACACTCATTACTTATCTTCACCATTAGTGCATTATAGTTAATGATATTTTCAAAATGAACCCTTTCATCCCTGAATGAAAAATGGAAACATAACGACTTGAGATTGTAGTGTGTTGTGTTTTATTTTGTCGAGATTATTGGACATGATCTTTAAATATGGTAGCAGAAGATTTTCTTCAAATTACAATTAGCCAGTAGACCCCTTTTGGTATCTTGTAATAAAATAAGACTAATTTAAATACTGCCTATAGCTTACGCGAGTAGGACACATTTAAATAAAACACTTTAACGGTTGAAAACGCGATATATTAGTTAAAAATCATTTTCAAATAAGTTTTACTAATATATCGCGTTTTAAACCGTTAAAGTGTGGTATTTAAATAAGACTGATTTAAAAATCGAAAATATATTGAAAAAATGCTAGGGCAACAGTTCTGCTAAATGCAACAGCTTTAACGGTTTAACAACGCCGTTCAAGTCCTGCCCGAGTCAAAAATATTTTCAAATATGTTTTCGATTTCTAATTTATATCGCGCCTTCATGTGCAATAACATGTGAAAAATATTAATGTTTTCAAACGTAAGACTGATTTGTAAATATATCAAAAATGATTTATTCGACCCGGTTTATTATTTTTCAGTTTGGATTATAAGATCTGAAAGGCTTGAATTTATAGACCATATCGTTCGTACTTTTCAGAGGTAATAAATATACTTAGGAGATTGGTTTCACATATTCATCTTCTATACGTTTTATTTTGTTGGCACAAGGATACGACGGGGCAGCCATGGTCAAAAAGTTAAATAAGAAGGAGAACATAAAAATGATACTAAAGATCCAGAAACACTTCCTAGAACATATTTTCCCCGAAACTGAAGTTGGTATCCTGTCAGGAGTTGTGTTCAACCGCAGAGAAAGGTCGTTGTAACGAACCATAAATCAAGAAAGCGTCGCCCTTACAAAAATAGCCCCGTTCACGAGTAAATTATAAAAAAAAAGCTAAAAAGGGCGTGCGGTCTGCGCGCGCGCATGTGTTGCGCATATGACGGCAGAACGTTTCCGGTTCGAAATTCGAAATTTTTGCATCCTATTGTCTATGTGTCACTGTCACTGATAAAAGATAATGTCGTTTAAGAGTTAAACATTAATTTCTTTGTACTCGTTTCGTTTTGTACCATGTGAATAAACAATACATCCTTGACAAGACAAATGTGTTGGAAATCGAGAATCTTTAATAACTTCTCATTGATCTCAAATATCACGTCATGTGTTTTGATATATTAATTTTTACGGAACAAAAAACATTAGGTTTTTATAAACATCTACTTAGTTGTATATGGAACGACAAAATATTTTTAGATATATTTTAATGTGTTTTAAATAACTATTACAGTGTTGTTGTTAGAATCACTATAAACTTAATGACAAATTAATTACTCAATAAATATATCTATCGCTCCTTAAAATTTTAAAGATACAAGACCATTTATTAAAGAAATGTACGTATGTATCTCGAAAACCACTGGTCAAACTTCAGTCAAATGTATTTGAATTGTCTGTAATTCATTAGAATTGTCTGTAATTAAAGCGAGAGAGCATAAACGGTTAGTAATGTATCTTAAAAATTTATACCAATATTTTTAACGAATCGTATAATACTTGCAATGAAGAAATAAATAAGTGCTTTGCAGCCATGACCACAGCAAAAAAACGAATGCTTTCAAAAATCAACACATATATTTCGCGTCTTAAACCACAAGTGTTTTATATAAATGTATTTATAATTATCAAAGCAATTAAGATGGAAGAATTACGATGAACACTTGTGCACCTATCTCGATCATTATCATACATCTATCAGAATGCATTCCTAAGCATTGTGGTTTTATTTTACACTGAACGTGCTTATATTTAGTACGGTCTGCAGACAAATATGCGCACTAAGGCAGACACAGCGAATTGAAGCAATTTTTCGCAATCACGCGCATCATTTATACGGATATAAAATATGTCGCGAAGCAAGTGCTTTGGATCGAGATCGAATGTTTACCTATACATATTTAAAACGTGCTCGTCACATTACTGTGAATCTATTAAACCAGTCAAAATGAGATATATATTGCTCAAGTTAAATAAAACACTTTAAAGTGTTTTTTTAAAACGTGTACTACACGCGTAAACTATAGACAGTATTTAATTAACCAGCACGGGCTGGAAAATGCAAGTTTAACTAATATATCGCGTTTTAAACCGTTAAAGTGTTATATTTAAACGTGTACTACTCGCGTAAACTATAGACAGTATTTACATTGTTCAAGTTAAAAACGACCCCACAGTTTCGCTTTTCAAGAAGTGTTGTCCCTGATGATCGAAGATTGTAAATTAAATGTTGTTTTGTTAATCTACACTTGGCAAAGGCGTCGTTAAATGTGAACCTGTCCCAGCAGTGGGATTGTGTTTGCTGACAATCGTGCGTCACTAATGAAACAAGAATCGGCGATAGAAATCGTGTTAAAATTCGCGCTTATGTATTTCTCGAACGGTGATGTCATCGCGATAAACTCCGATGTGTTGCCGTTCTTAATCGTAACCTTCGAGTGACCATGCATGAGGTACAGCATCCATTAATGCTTTTTATTTCAATCTTAAGGTCGTAACGCGAAATATTTTTACATAACGGGCTTATTAATTTCCTATCAAGTGTTCTAGTTTTATTTAAATACATTCCACATTTAAATAAAACGTTTAACGATTTAAAACGCAAATTATATTCGTTAACTTATTAACTACGCCCCGACGTTTCGGATACTTTGCAACAACCCGTGCAACAGCAGTGGTCAACCCGGATTTCGTGTTTTAAACCGTTAAAAGATTTTTTCAATAAATACATCTTATTTTCTATATTCATATAAATTTAATTTATACTTAGCGTAGATTTGAATTTGTGATAATTACAAGTGTTTCTCATAATACTATTTTTGTCCAAGTAATATTTTTGTCGATTTTTCTAACCCCTTTTTTTATTTTGCACCGTTTAATTTTATACTCTCTCTATGGTATTTTTTTATACTTAAATGAATTACTTACATTTTCCTATCACCATCCACATGAGATTGAACTGAAAACCCGAACATAGATTGATAGTTCCCCGTATACACAACCCTGGATGGAATATCCACATTGAAGCCCAGGGTGCTGGCCGCGGCAGCCAGAAAAACACACAAAAACAGAGCCATAGTTATATCACTTAGTCACAACACAACACTTATTCAAACTATTAAATTCGTCCGCATGTTTCGTTTTCGAGATTACGTTCGAAACTCCGCAGAGTGGCGACGTGCAGTCCCCGCAGCCGTCACTTCTTGACTGAAGGCCAGACAAGGAATGAGGTAATCCCGCGGAAAATAAGAAAAGCTGACGAGCGCTTTTCTCGGAATAACTTTGAATAAACGATATTTTCATTCAGTTGTATTGAGTCAGGTCAATAAAAGTAAAGTATCGTTTTATTAACAAAATAATAATAATAACGAAAAAAATCTCCGACTTTATACGATAACAAGCCGACGGGTCGTAGCTATAATATGTTAACGAATAAATTCCGCGTTTCTAACCGTTTAAAAATAATTTAATTGATACTGCAAAATTAATATGTGAGAAGTTAAATTGTTCGAATTTCCTCCGTGTCGCATGAGGCCAACACATATCTGTGCCTGTTTCACGCATAGATTTTATTCTATGCCAAAACCAATTTTTTCCCCCGAATACAAACTTAGACCTCTCGCCATAATCATTTAACTATTTTGTTACAGGGGTACCGCAAATTATTGATATAGACGTTAAATACTGTCCATAGTTTACGCGAGTAGTACACATTTAAATAAAATACTTTAACGGTTTAAAACGCGATGTATTAGTTAAACTTATTTGGAAATGATTTTTAACTTCGGCCCGACGTTTCAGATGCTTTACAGCAACCGTTAAAGTGTTTTATTTAAATGATATAGACGTTGCTTGTAAAAATCTTAAAAATTAATACGCATACCCTTATGGTATTGATAACCTTTTTTAATTAGAAACAAAATGTCCGCTCGCGATGACTATATTTAGGTATTATCTTTAAAACAAACAATCATAAAATCGTGAATAACTGATATGAGTAATTCTTTATAATGTATTCACTTATGACGCAATACGGAACGGATAATATCAAACAAAGTCTCTTAAGATATTATTAATGTTTTCGTCTTGGCTGGCTCATCGTAGTTTTAAAAACCCTTCTAATCATGGGAAAACTGGTTTGACTTACAGTCAAAATGAACTCCATACTAAGTATGGTCTATAGTTTACCGAGTAGTACACATTTAAATAAAACAATTTTTAACGGTTTAGAACGGGAAATATTTTAGTTAACTAATTTAGAATGTATTTTAACTACGACGTTATGGATACTTTAGAAGAAGAACTACGACTATAAACAAAAGGACGAGGTCTAAATTCGAGAGGCTCGATGGAATTTTGACTTTGGCTTATTTCGAAGGCAAATGGGAAATACACATCTATCAATAATTTAAAAAAAAGTTTTATTATTTATTACTTTGTATATATTCCTAAGTATTCTAAATTATCATTGTTATCAAAATTCACAAGTTACCATTTTATACTTACTTACGCTGATACATTACATACTAATTTACGGTTCCCACTGCTGGGCCTCAAACAATCTATGTTCGTAAATTGGGACTGCAGATACGAGGGGGACGGCATTAATAAAAAAAACACATTATAATCACTGTTTTATTGCATTAACAATATAAGTATACAAAAATACTAATCGCATACAAAACCACAGCTTATAACTAGCATCAATATTGAATAATTTAACAATAATTATAGGAATACAATTTTAAAACAACGAGAGATATTTATTTCACTACGATATATGTAAAATACAAATCTACGCAATATCTTACCATATTACATATGCAACGTATTTCACAAAATATAAATAAAACTAGAATAGAACGCGTAGAATGCTACGCGGACGAAGTCGCTGACACAGGTACATCTTAAATTATTATTATCTAAGTCATTACTATATGACTTAAGATAATAATAATGTAAGATGTTACCCAAGACGTCCGTCGCGTCCCGTCTTTCTTACAATTTACCCTTAAAACACCTTATGTCAGGGAAATTTGTTTATAATTTGAAGAGGATACATTCTTTCATACATATTTTTTGATCTACAATGACGAATATTTTCCCCGTTTTTTCCACATTTTCCGCCCTTTTTCCGCTCTAATTAGACACAACGCAATGTTTTAGCCTATAACCTTCCTCTATAAATGCTCTTACCAACACGAAAATAATTTTTCAATTCGCACCAGAAGTTCTTAAGATTAGGGCGTTCAAACAAACAATCTATTCAGCATTGTATATTAATATAGATATAAAGTTATTCTTAACTGCTCTTGTCTTTTCAACATTTTACCCTATAACTAATAAACTGATAAAAATGTTCCCCAATATACTGAAGGCAAACAGACAAACATTTATTTTGTATACTGTACATTGAATCACTAATACCAGAAACCGCAAATGACATATAATCAAATTGAATTACCAATAATACATATTACTTAGATTTAATTACACATCGTTGTTTCCTTAATTTAATTTGAAACTCACTCGTGCGCCAGTCACGTATTCAAAATGGGTTTTAGATTCATTTCAGGCCATAAACGGACAATTAGCTTAAGAATCCAGACAAGTAAGGATACATTTGATGGAATGATTTAATTTATTCTTATATAAAAAAATCAGTTATTGATTATTGTGTCAATAAATGGCCTAAAATATTAAAGGAAGTTGTTATTCGTCCAAATACATTGGAGATAATATAACAAAATTTGCTGAAAAATATAACCTTTTTTATTAGTATTTTAATATTACGCATATAAAATACTGTCGTTCTCGAGAGTAGTGCAAATTTAAATAAAACACTAAACTGTTTAAAACTCGAAATGTATTTAAACATATTTAAAATTGCTCCGTGAACACGGCTGCTGCAAAGCATCCGAAGCGTCACCGGCAGTTAAAATAAATTGAAAATAAGTTTAACCTATTCATTTCGCGTTTTAAACGGTTTTATTTAAATTACGCATGTTTTTCAGATTCGATTAACATTTTAGACAGGTTATCTATAGAATGTGACTACAGTTTCAATTGTTTTTAGTCTTTCAGAAAATTCGCTGCCAACGCATCTTCCTCAGACGCCATGCCGTAGGACATCCTGTATAGTATCTATATACAGGGTGCTATAGTATATAAGCAACAAATAGTATTGGCAATGAGTTAATAGGAACATTAATCATTTGCTACCCTCTTAACGTTTTCTAATTAGCATATTTGTGCGTTACTTAGCCGTATTTAAATATACTTTTAATTGCCTCATTATGGTAATATTTTAATTAACTATGAATAAATAAGGAAATCGATTAATTAATTATAATTACCCTCAGACTATCGGAAACTTAATTAAAATAATAATAAAAAACAATTGAAGACTATTACTCTTAAATACTGTCTGTAGTTTACGCGAGTAGTACACAGGTTTAAAACGCGAAAGTTCACTAACGTTTAAATCTAACCGTATATTGCTAAAATTAGTTAAACCGTTATCGCGTTTTAAACCGTTAACAAGTTTTATTTAAATGGCTGTACTACTCTTAACTATTTGATATAGTGTATAATATTTTATCGTTTTGATTTAGTAATTATATTGTTAGCCGTTTATAAATATGACTTCCTCAGTAGATAAATGGTATTACCTAGCATTGCGTTAAGCGCTAGAGGTCTTGGGTTCAAATCCCAGGAAAACAAAACTAAATTAATAACAACGAACTATTTAAATTTTGAAAAGACACATTTTACGGTTCGAAACGCGAAATATATTAATTATATCGTTTTTGCATATTTAAAATAAGTGGATAGGTATATTTCGCATTTTAAACTACGTTAATAGTGTTTGATTTAATGTTACGAAATTTCGTTGAAGAGAAGAGTTTAAGTCTTGAAGTCAGTAACAGAACTTATCTGTCAAAGAGTTGTACGTATTTTTACCTGTTAGCTAGTTTTTCTTCTGAAACAGTTACGCAAGATGTTTGTAAATTTAGAAGAGTTATGTAATTAAAAATCGATTTTAGATTGAAAAAATTTACGACACGGGAGGGAGTTGAACCGGCATCCACATGTTCCGCGATATTGCTCTATCCAATTGAGGTACAAGTTATATAAAGTGCTGAATTTATTTATGAAATATTTAAAAAATAATTTTGGTTTAAAGGGGTTTTTCCCCTTCCAATACTCAGATTAGGTATAATCTTAAATAAAATCACATATAACCATAAAATAATGAATGTTTGACTACGATATTTGCAATTGTACAATATGATTATCTTTCAACGTTCAATGATAGCCCTTAAATAAAGCAATTTTAACAGTTTTAAACTTGACTTATATCGGAGTCGGAATATAAATTCGTCAAGTGATACTCGTCACTTGGTACACTTTTGTTATGATTTGGAAAATTTAAACACACTCGGTGTGCTTTTCTTTTGAGGTTTATTTTCAGCAACCTGAAAATAAAAAATGCAATCTCTATATTCTAGTTTCAAATATACATATAACTTATATACAACGGTTGGGTTTGATCCCCACTGGGTCCAAGATGTGTCTAATCTGAAACATGTTGAACTTTGTCTGGAAATTTGGATATTAAATGGATGGTAGGAATATCGAAATTCCGTCCGACTGAGAGACAGTTGATAAAATAAATTTCCTAATATCCAAAGTCAAAATAGGTTGGCTTTCACCTTAGTAAACCGCATGCTTAACTATCTTTCTCAATCATAAAAAAACTTTAAAAATGCCATTTCTTGAGGCATCTCTTAAAATCTTAACAATATGAAAGTATTTTTTTTATTAGGTATGTTTGTTGCACGTTCATAAACATTGAGAATGTTACATTCGACTACAAAGCTTAAGTTGAAAAAAAATATATTAAAGAAGGATTCGAACCTACGAATAACAGCGTTCTGGGTTTTTGATAGACATTGGATCTTCAAATTCAAATATTCAGAGAGTTTCCTATTAAGAAGTTAAGAGTTAATAGACTTTTTAGAGTCATCTTTTTTCTGGTGAAGTACACTCACAGTTCTATCTCCAAGAAGCAAACGCGCTTTATCCTCCTCCAGGGGTTCGGGTGCGGCTGGAGCTCGTCTGTGCAACTGTAGTTTCTGTCTGATCGCCTGCGACAGGAGAACCCTGGGAAAGAAAGAAACTTTTGGTTGTTGATCTGCACCATAAGTCGCGTCTTCAGGAAATTTGCTGAATAATCGAAGTAACTATTATACTTTGAGTAATGCATTAATGTTGATCCGATTCAACGTCGTTTATAGAGAAAAGCATTAAGCTTCAAAACATAAAGCTGCCACGGTAGAAGCGAAGAAACAGTCGGAAATGTGGGAAAAACTGTAAAAAATATTCAACTTTTATTGTTTCGCTTGCGTGCGATGCGAAAATGGTTCAAAGTAACCTAAAAAATATGTGTCAAGAATGATTCCTACTTAAACGATCCCAAAACTGTTCTACCGTATGTCTTTGGATTTTAAATTCGATCCGACGTCGTGGGTAACACTTGCCAGCTATAGTTTATAAATACGAGGGGGGGGGGGTTTGCGAAATCGAATTTCGACGCCAAAATTTCTATTCTACGCAGACGGAGTCGCTGGCACAGCTAGTAAATAAAAAAATAAATATTCTTGACTGCAAAGTCCACAATCTTGATCGTTAAAATCTTTAACTACTTCGATACTTAAAATAGACGCTAAGTCTTGCATAAAATAAAGTCATTCAATTGTAGATAAAGCTCTATCGTTCTCACCTTCTTGTATCATTCTTGGTGGCCAACAGCAGATCCAACCACGTCCAAGTGACGTTATGGTATTCCAAAGTAGGCAATACTAGGGGTAGGTCCCGTACATCTTCCAAGTTCTTCTCCTTGCTACCCTTATAAGAGACGCGGACGGGCACTTCGGGGATCTTAATATAGATGAAGAGTTTGTTCTTCTCCGCGCGTTCCTGTTACGGAGGTGAAGAAGGTAAGAATAGATTCTTAGGATCCAAGATATTTTTCTATCAGGTTTTTAATATTATCTGTCTTACGTTAGATTAATCTTGATATTTCACATTAAGGATATTTTAGAATATAGCCGATAATTTTTATTGAGGCACATAAAAAATTATTCCTCTAAGTTAAAAAAATGCATCGCGTTTTAAACTGTTAAAAGTTTTTTATTCAAATCAAATAGTATAGAAATATTTGTCTACAAACATTCAAATATATTTGGACTTTGTCAGTTTAAATTAATTTTTAATTACCTATCGATATAATGTATTTGGTTACAAGCCATTTCACTTTGTAAAGTGTTAACACTATCATCATGTAAGTATTACGACCGCCACTGTAGCTATGTATGTATGTATGCCTAAGGTTATGGCTTCGATCCCCGGGAAAACAATAGATTGTTTCTTTTTGCGAAGCACAGTAGTATCGTGAACTACTTGCCGTTAAATAAAACACTTTAACGGTTTAAAACGCGATATATTACTTAAACTTAGTTGAAAATTATTTTTAACTTCGGCCCGACGTTTCGGATGCTTTGCAGCAGCCGTGGTCACGGGGTGACTGCTCGCTACTACTCGCGTAAACTATAGACAATATTTAACTACTTGCCTGTAAAGAAAACTGGTCAGTGAAACGGACACAGAAATGTGTTAGGGCATGCCCATGCGCAGAAACGGGATTTCACTTTATGTATTGCACAGAGTATAAATCGTTTGCACAAATCTTGATCGTAGTTTACTTACCTTCATTTTCTCGACGTCATCTTTGTCCTTCTTATCCCGTTTGACGTAGAAATTTGAGTTCGAGTCCTTAGCCTTCTTGCGGGACTTCTTGGAGACGAGAGTGGCACTGTTTCGCCCTGTCCCTCCCGAACCAGTACCACCTTCTCCCGTTTCATCATCCCCCTCCTCCATGGCGTCCGGGTCACGCTCCGGGAAACAGAACTTGAGCATCGTGTTGAAGAACTTCTTCGTCATGCCTGTACATATATCGTATATCGTAAATTAACATTTTTCAAATCAAGTGCGTAGAACCAAGAAGAATTGGCAAAAAACTCGCCAACACTATTTTCCAAAGCATTCACGTATTTAGAGTGTATGTGTGAAATCATGTTACCCCCTTGCGGGGCATGGGGTAAACATATTTATGTGTCAGTTTCACTGATCCGTTCTTTAACAAGCCAGAGTCAGTCAGACTTTTTGACTTCCGTGCCCTACACGACCGAAAATAATTTTTGGTTTCGTTTTGGGATCCGAACCCAGGTATTCTCGCGCTTAACGCAATGCAATACGGCCATTTGGCTGCAGAGGCGGTCAAAAAGTATTTAGATTTACATCTCTCATTTGTAAGACCAGATCTCGAAGGTGACTTATATCATTAACTCGGAGGAGACCAGCATTCGATTACCGGGCAGAAGTTCTTAAACGTTTATGTAATAGAATTCTTACCAATACGAATAGGTACGATATTGACTTCAAAGTGTTCTTTCACAGAAATGCCACCGACGGGTGGTCGATCTCTGCAAAACACGCGCAAAGCCGCGCGGCGAGCTAGTGGTGCTCTTCCCGATGCAGCTTGAGGTACTAAGACCTGAATATTATATAGTTATAATTAATACCAAAAACTGAGTAAAAAAAGTTAATAATCCAATTATACCAGTAATGCACAACTTGAATTTTGATTTGGTGGACCTTTAAATTTTTAAACCAACAGACAAAAAGTCGCATCCCGTTTCTCTCCGTGAGGCACTAAACACAATTCTGTGTCCGTTTCACTGAACGGTTTTATTAGTAAAGCAAGTACATGATGAGACGTCCTGCTCGACCGAACCAATCTATCTCTGAGATTCGAACCTTTATCGTTTTAAACAGTTAAAAGCATGTATATTTGAAATATACCCTAATTACGTAACGTGCATATAAGAAACGAGACATTAACGAATCTAATATTGTAATGTCATATCGCAATAAAAGAAATGCGTCAATAATTTCGCGATCCCCATTACATCTTCGGTAGTATAGTGGTCAGTATCCCCGCCTGTCACGCGGGAGACCGGGGTTCGATTCCCCGCCGGAGAGAACTTTTTTTTTGTAATTTGGGAGTACTTTTTAGATATTTTCAATTGTAGGATTAATTTAACTATGAATTTCGTATTTTAAACCGTTAAAAGTGTTTTATTTAATTGAATATAAACATTAAAGATAACGTGCAGTCAATTTATAACCAAGCCGTGGTCACACGGGGACTAACTACTTTGCGTTTTGAAATATTAAGTGTTTTATTTAGTATGCACCACTCGCATAAACTATAAACAATATATTTGTTATTTAAAATGTAGAGAAAAAATAATTCTTGCCAAGATTACCTCGGGGAATGGTTCATTAGGCAACAGATTGGTAACACGAACATATCCCAATTCCAACTGATGCTCCACAGAATCGTCTGAACGGGACGTTTTAGTGTATCTAGAAACACAAAAAAAAATTAAACACGTTATGAAAAATTAAAATAAACATATCTTAAGTTATTCTTCAGCTTTAAATTATTTTCACATACTTTTAATATTTCGTGTTTTTTGTACAAGTTCTATGAATGGGCTATTTGACTGAATTTTAAAATGTACTTTATATTATTTGGTAGATGCTAAGGGCCCCAGAAAAGTAGTATTTTTGAATTCGGATATGTATTTGTACGTAATATCCCAAATTCGCCATTGGTGTATGTCGATCAAATAATCTACAATCTACATGCATTTGTATTAAACATGTATATTTTAACCGTGGTCACGGCTGCTGCAAAGCATCCGAAACGTCGGGCCGAAGTTAAAAATAATTTTCAAATAAGTTTAACTAACATATCGCGTTTTAAACCGTTAAAGTGTTTTTGTTTAAACATTTTAACAGTTGTTGAATTAATGAAATTAATTACAAATTTATTTATTAATGCAAAGAGCGAACAGTTTTAACACTAGGAAGCACGGTGTTTAACAGACCTGTTTATAAGCAAGTGACGTCATCGTAAATGTAAAAGTGCCGATCGTAAAATAAGGAGTGATTTGTGTCACGTAACAATTGTTTAAAAAAGTTAGTTTTTATTTGCGGTATTATATAATATTATTTTTAACATATGTTACTGTTTTACTATTTATAAACTTAAACTTAGTACTGATAACAGTAATTGACGCTATATTTTTCGCATTGTTATTTGATAATCCCATTGTGCTTTTATTTCATTTTATCGTGCATTGGAAATCGCACCTTACAAGTTTAAGTTACTACTAATACTGCTACACAATTGCTTACAAGAAATTGGTCAGCAACAGATCAGCTATTCCCAACTGTCCGTCAGCGTCCGTGAGCCTCCAACGGGCAGATTTGAAACATATCTCGTTGTAGCGATGAGGGGGCGCATGCGGGGAGCGCGGAGCGGGAGGACGAGTGGCGGAGCCCGCTTCTCTCCACGCTCGAACCATCGCGTCTAGTTCTTCACCGAGAGACCATGCTGTTTCTTTACATTCATTTACCTGTAGATTTAAGTAATAATATGATTATAATATTTTAGACGGTTTAAAACGCGAAATATATTAACCGAATTAACTACGGCGCGACGTTTTAAATGCTTTGCTACCATGGTTACAGGAAGACTGAAGTTGAAGAGTGTCCCTAATATCAATGTCATATCAGCTACCTGCAGCTGCGGCAAAGCATCCGTAATGTCGGGCCGTAATTGTAATCGTTGTAAATAAATGAACTAATATACTTTATGTTTTAAACCGTTTAAAGTGTTTTATTTAAATGTGTACTGAAAATAAAGTAAGTTGTCATCATCAAGTATAGCAATATTACTTTCATGCCAGTAGACAAATATCCCCTCTACTTCAGTCCATGGCTCTAAATACATAAAACATAGCAGCTTTTATTATTGTACCCACCTGGTCATCCAAACTCTTCAACTCTGCTAATGCTATTGGATCGTTGCCCGTGATGGATCTATTCTTCAAGTAGTACTCCTTCTCTAATCGACGCAGTCGGGCTAGTGTCTCTCTCACCTAAAAGGAAAAGACGTGTTCGTGTAATGATAGCAATATTTTTCAAAGGTCCCAATTTGGTCCAAAATTTCTCTAATTAACATGATGCACTTCGTTCTAGAAATCTTGATACCAAGTGGTAGCACCACCGTCCATAGATCAGATACCCGTCAAGTTTAATCGCGTTTCGAATTCAGTTTTTGGGTTTCCGAATATTCAAAGTTAAAACAGGTGGACAGTGCATCTTGTTTAGATGTTATATGGCTTAGGTATGGCCGACCATCATTGTTTGTCCTCCTCTACCATAAAAAATATAGGAGGCTAAACATAATTTAAAATCTTAATTTTACCTGTGTCTGTAGCTTGTGTATCAGGTGTCGTGGGTCTGTGTCGCGATGCAGTTGCAACTGGAATCGCATGCGCGCGCGCCGCTCTAGCGCACGACGGCGTTCCGGCTCCACGTGTAACACTACGTTGTTTACCACGTCTAATAACATGGCGTACTATAAAAATAAAAACCAAACTAAACATGTATTGAAGTAAATATATGTTATCTAAAATAATGTAACTACCATATTATTTCTTATAATTTAATTATTATATATTTAAAAAGTTACCTGTAAGGAATTAGTGCACACGTCAAGGTCATGATGCATGAGCGTAAAAGAATCGTAGGGCTCCGGGGCGGAGGCCCAACCTGCTGCTGTGTTAGTGCTCGTCTCACTTTCTTGCGATACGTAGTAAAACTCGCATGCGCATCGTGACACTATTCTTTGTAGCTAGAAACACGAAAAATAAAAGCCGGTAAGTATATATCAATTTTATGCCATGGTATAATTTATAGATATTCCTAATAAAACCGCATACAAAACAATGTTACGATATACATATAAATAACACTTTGAACGGTTTAAATCGCAATTTTTATAGTTGGATTTAACTTCGAACCGGCGCTTCGGATGCTTAATAACTACCATTAAGAGAGAAATAGGAATATACAAGGTACCGGAGATAAATTTAAACTTGGCCAAAGGACAATCTTTAATTCACCTGTGCCAAACCAGTATCAGCAGATGGTCCCACCGTACGCCCTATTACCCCACCGGCTGAGTGCCCGCTACCAACTAGTCTTGGTACATCCGGTAACGTGCTTATCTCCGCTCCTGACCAACGCTCTTCGATCTCTTCAACAGATACCCATTGGATGTTCTCTGTAAGAGATGCCACTTATTGTATTGACGATATGATGTTTAATTAAATATTCACAACTGAACGGGCAAATGCCCGACGCTCTATATAGCCAATAAGGTTGTCAATCATTCGCATTTAGACACAACTCTTGGCCAAAGCCGAAGCACAAGGATATTAAAATGATTTTTAACTTACGTGATAAGCCTTATAAAAAAGTTTTGGTTCTTCGAGCCCATACGAGTTGTATTCTAAACAAAAGCTCACCGTCAAGTTGATCGCGATCTGCTGCACTGACAGTTGCATAATACTGCATAGCTGACAGAGCACCGCTCCAGGCCGTAGCTGCTGGTGCGCGGCGGACACGTTGACGTACTTCTGCACGCGCCGCGCAGAGTATTACGTAGCCGCGGGTTTCACAGCCTTTTAGTACCACTTGTGAATTAACAAGCTCGACTAGAAATAAAAGTCCTTATAAGCTTGTGTATGAACACAGCTGTTCGGCTCGTCGGTCTAAACTTCAGAGAGAGCCTGGCTAACTGAGACTCTAAAGGTACAACAATGTTTCGGATAATAAACGCGTAGCAATTTATAATTGTTGTCTAACATATGGATCGTTGTCTCGACAAATTGAACATTATATGGCTAAGGGAGGTATGGATTTTTCATCGATTCCCAAAACACCGTTCACAGATAAAAACCGCGATTCGGCTTCAGTCTTTGGCTGACGTATTTTATCTTTCATCGACCCCATGTTTGATTGCAAAAAAGGACAGAATAACTTTGTGTCTCTTAAACTTTCATAAACTCTGGTTCTTTGGTTTTATATTCTGTGAATGGACTCCTTTAGAACCTTATAAAAATAAGAGGTTATGAAAATTTCATAAATAGATTAGTAGATTAGATAGAATTGACTTGAACCTTAATATCTTTCACATGTATTGCGGTTAGAGCAGTAGCATGAAACACTGTGGATGCCGATTCATGTCCCAATCGTGGTATTCAATTTACATAAAATACTATCTACATAAAATGTCAATATTCACTATTATCAATATGATTTTGCAAAATACTAACTAAGGCATGCAGTATGCGCGGTCTCATCGTCCAGAACATGACGCAAATGGGGAGGATGCGGTGGTGGCGCATCTGTTTCAGCTCCAGCCAGCTCATCGCTGAACACAACAGGCGCTTCGCCTCCTGCCTCGCCCGCTTCCGCCACTAGTGCTGCTAGCATCCCTTCGGCGCATGCGCCGCTACCGGAAGTACCGCCCTGTATTAATAAAATAATAACAAAAGTTATTTGAACTCAACTGAATGGGTCAATTATTTAAAAAAAATTGGTAGTATTAAAGTAAAATACTCCTAAAGGTTTTAATGCGAAATATGTTATTATTATTGTTTTACTACGCCTCGAAGGATTTTAGAATTAGGTACCTGTGCCGAAGCCGGTGGTGGGGATACCATATCACCGTCACGTTGGTGTTTGGGGGATGTTGTCGGCTTCTCTTCTTCTTTTAACGCTTTCGTAGATAGATTCTTCTTTAATTGCTGGAAAAATTAAAAATAATATTAATTTATACACTTTCATTAATGTCTTCATTTTAAGTCAAACATTTAAAATTCTTTTTTTTTCTGATTTACACCTGAATATGTAGCGATTTCTAATGTTATGCTTAAAACGTGTAAGGATTTCAAATTACTTAAATCATATTCTCTCTTTTTAATCTAAATGTATATATAGCTACCATTGCCATGAGTATAGGCTTAGTCTCCCTGACTTTTCTCATACCTGAGTCTTGATGTAAGTATCAATAAGGGCAAAAGCTAGATCCCGGTTTAATTTGGTCCAGGCGCCGCGGAGATCATGCACAGCGAGACGATGAGTCGGCGCAGGAGTCGAACCGGCACCGCTAGCCTCACGGCCATATGAGACGCGCCGAACCGATAAGCAGTAACACTTCTCCATAGCTGGCGGGCACAACATTGCTGATCTCTGAAAATTTGTACAAAAATTATACGTATAAAGTGTTTTATTTGTCTTTTATACTACTTTTATTTATTAAGCGTTTTAAAACTTCGTTATTTTTTTTTTTTTTTTCTGTTATTCACCATTATCTACTTTTTAATACCTCATCGCCATCCTTTTCTTCGTGTGGCTGTTGCGCAGGAGTTTTGAGCCATATTTCAACATCATTAAGGTCGCAATTCATATACAGCGTGGCCCAAACGGCACGGGCTCGTCGTATGAGTGCATCAGATCCTGATACTAGACTCAGTCGATGTCGAGAACCGCAGGTCACACGTACGCCCAGCATTTCAATACCACGCTGCATTGAAGAAGAAGACCAGTAGAATACCTGAAATCGCAAATCAAATGAAGAAAATACCACTCAAATAAAAGATATCCACGTTTTAGGACCATAATTGGATAATGGTTTAGAGTAAAGTAATAGTAGACTATATTTTAAAATAATAATAGTAAGGCATACTAAATGGACCATCTAAAAGTTCCATCTACTACAGCGCCATCTAGCATACGTAGATTTTGTTATATACTAAATTAATTTTTTTAACTTGTGACTGTACCTGTAAGTTATGCAAAGTTAGCGAAACTGCAACGTTTCTGTAGTGTCGTGACAGTTGAGGCTTTCTTGGCTTTAGATTCTTGAAAACGCGGCCTCGACGTGTGGGTCGTGTTGTACCCGACAAAATAAGTTTTAAACTCTCAAACCACCTAAAATAAGTTTATATTCAAATATTGGCGGTGAAACTATACCACACTTTGTGATAAATACTATACCTAAGGGTGCTGCCATAAAGTAGTAATACTGGTCCATCATCTTCCATGGGTTTTGTGTCCATGCTCAAGTGTAAGTCTACACCTTGAGACCGAAAAGCTCTGTATGAATCATGCTCCTGTAATAATGTAATTTATTAAATGAATATTAAATAAAAATTAACGTTGCGGTTGTAAATACTTCAGATATATAAAACTAATATAATTTCTATTCCGTACCTGGTTACTGGAATATTCTGGCAAGCGAGTGGGAGCGCATGGTGCCACAGCGTGATGGTCACGGGGGTCTCCGACACATTGCCAACCCAGTTTGATGCTCAAGCGCAGCCCAGGCACACGCAACACGCGGCAATCGTCATACTTACTAGCGGTTCGTACAAACACTTTCAATTCACCCAAAAATCCCAGTTTACCTATATGTATATATATATAATTACAAGATTATAATTTTACATGAAATGTAATATTAAGTTTTAAAGAAAATAAAGGTCCTTCAAGTCGGATCTATTTGTCAGATCCGACTAAAGGACCATTATTTAATTATTACCGTTGGTCCAGTCCAGTACTAAATCGGTCCAAGTGACCTCCATCTCTTCAGTGGTGTTGTATGGATCTAATGACACGTGTAACAGACACGTGAATTTTGCACAGTTGAGAGTCAATCGCCCGTGGAACAAAAGACGGACTTTATCCCACCAGGTTAGTGGAGCAGAGGGGTCTAGTGATGGCCTAGATACTTGGTCGAAAGCTGATAAAAATAGAAATCAAAAAATTATAGGTGCGTTATTAAATTTAATATCTATTGTCTTTTGCGACATTCTTTAGATTTTAAATAAAACTATTTGAACTGTTTAAAACGGGAAATATACGCGAAGTAAACGTAAACGTTTGTTTTGCGACAAAGCATCTAACTAATATATTTCGCGTTTTAAACCGTTGAAATGTTTTATTTAATTGTGCACTATTCACGTCAACTAGAGACAATACAGAATATAATTTACCAACAGACAATATCATTTTTAAGGAAATTGAATCTTTTTTTATACTATTAAATATTGAAATAAGTTTTGCGTCTTAAAAATAACGTTTAAAGCAACGATATTACATTGATATATTTCTCTTAATATTTAATACTGACTTCTTTAAAATATCATACCTAAATTGCAATGAGCGATGACTGGTTCCCAGCAAGGGCCGAACGCATAGCTGTACTCTGTCATTTCGCAACACAGATCGTAATACCACTTTAGTGGCATCATGCTGCGCTCCAGTTCGAACTCACCCCATGGAATACCTTGGTCTATTACCACCGTGCGAACCGCTAAAAAGACAAACATATTTCAAATTTCATAACTCAAGATTATTATGCATATATATGATGGTGCTATGGACAGAGTGGCCTAATAACAAAAAATAGTATTTTGAATATGGAGGCAAATTAAAATGCACTATTAACTTACGCGAAAATGAATTTGTACTATTATTTGGGTAAGAATCAGTGAACAATTTTCAGTCACTGTGCTCTTGTAGCTTAACATTTTTAGACTTTTAAAATATAAATAAATCAAGTCGTAAAATTTCGGTTAGGCCTTTCTGTCTCTAACGGTCTCATATTACGTCATTATCAAAACGTGTACGTGTACTAATGAAAAAGGCTTAACTTAATAACATCGTATTGTTTTTTTATGTTGCAGGTACATAACTTTTATTCTATAAGTACTAAAGAATATTCTAGGTTTACCTCTGGCTGGAGCTGCTTCCTCGGCGGCTAACATTGTACCCCAAAGTCGCATTTCACTCATACTGAGCAGCGGCTGAGGAAAGTCGCGCAGGCGCAGTTGCCACAGCGCCACCGATACGTTGATCATACGACACCATAAAGTGCTAAACTCTATTCCTTCTTCGGGCCATGGACTGTAAAAATATAAAGGGACAAGTGAGTTTGAGATACTTCTCAGAATAAGTTTTACTATTGAAGACTTTTAAAGGATTAAGACTAAATTTGCTCGCAGTAAACAGAAACAGACCTCATAGGAACAATTTTACTTATAGGAATATCCAGAATAACTCACCTTAACACTTACGTATTAAGGTTTACGGCCTTATGATTTGCAGAGAGAAATAATTGAAAGAAATAATTGAAGATGAATGAAATGACAGAGTTTAAAATATGAAACCATTATTATTTTATATATTTGATAATGACATTATATAAATTTAAAATATATTTAGGCTATAAATTTTTTACCTAATAACTAACTAACAGTATATACACACTTATTTTATTATCACATTATATTTTTGTATGACTAAGTTGCGTGATTTTTTTTTAATAATCTGTAATTTGTATCTGTTTTATTATAACGTCTGTCATGATTTCTTTTGAAATACAAACCCTTACCTATCCGCATCGATTTCCCTCAGCCTCTTCGTAGCATTGTTCGTGCCATGCATAGATGGGTCAGCCAAGGACAGCAAAGAAAACCCAGATAAGCAGCACGCGACCAAACGACTGCGGGGCGGTGGTGCGGCGCGGCATCGCTGCACGTATATCTGGGCGTCTTTTTGTCTTAACGCTGAGTACAGTTCTTCCACTTTACCAGCCGGGAGGAACAGGTGAGGCTTGCAAAGCTCTTGGACCTATAATGACAAATATGCCTTTAGACAAAAAGATGGTATTTGAATCAATAATCATTTTTTCACTTTCCCTCAAGTGAACTTCATGCTGTCATTAAATTCTGTCCTCGTCTATCATAAAAAAAATTAAACAATTTTTCATGTTAGACTCAAACGCTTTCATAAGGAAGGAGTTTGTACGCAAAGAAGCATCGAAATATTCTGAAAGAACGTATAATACCCCAAACATATAACAAGTTGCGCTATCGACCTATTTTGGCTTTGGATATTTGGAAATACTATTACGGAAACCCGAACGCGATACTTCACGGCTTGCAATCTGTAGATTGTGATTCGTGGCCTGGACGGAATTTCGACTTTAACGGTTCACACTTTAACGGTTTAAAACGCGATGTATTAGTTAAACCTGTTTGAAAATGATTGTTAACTTGGGCCCGAAGTTTCGGATGCTTTGCAGCAGACGTGGTCCCCGTGACCACGGCCGCTGCAAAGCATCCGGAACCGTTAAAGTGTTTTATTTAAATAAATTCGACATGTTTCAAAAGAAATATAGTTTGTTTAGTATCACGTTGATGCGGATGAGATCAAACATACGACAGTCGATTGTTAGCAATACATTGCTATCATTAGACCAACGAGTCAGTCAAACAAGACTCATATAGAACTAGGTATTATAAGATATAAGCCGAATTTACCTTAGCGTCCAACATAGTTCTTCGTTTCTGACTCTCCTTATATTCATCTTCTAGGAGCTCATAGTTATCCCTAAGCTTGACTTCGAACGGGTCATCGCTCATTTCTATCAAGATTTCTTCAATCTGTACAATACAGGAATCGATTCTATTTATTTAAGAATGCAGGAAATATCACAGTAACATATTATAAATAGAAAAATAGAGTACAGATAATTCCGTAAAACACAGATAAAATCGAGGTTTAAGAATAACTTACACAATTAGACCATGAAAAACAATGATAGACATCAAAATTATAATATTATAGTTACAATTAAAACTAGGAACATTTAACATTAATTTTACATAAATTATCATAAAAATAGAAAACGAAAAACTATTTTCTTATCAACACGAACATTACGTTGAGATAAGTAAATAAGAAAGATCTGCCTACAATCAACAATATTAAAGACTTGCAAAAAACAGTAAATCTTTAATATGTTGAAATAAGTCTATTTGGACGGTTTGAAACGTCAAAACAAAATGTTAACTTACAATTTATTTTAACTAGAAACCGATGTTACGGAAGCTTTGAAGCAGCCGAGGTCACTAATATATTTCACGTTTTAAAACGTTAAACGTGTTTGATTTAAATGTGTACTACGCGTGTAAACTATAGAGAGTACTTCATTCATATATTTAAATCTTTCCATGCTATCGCTTACCTTTATATGCAAATCGCTAGGCAACGAGCTGTCTAACGTAAACGGTTTCTTCTTGATGCCGTGCACGTGTTTAAGCCATTTAAACAGAGACACAAAATCACCTTGCACCGCTTCCGCAAATCTATGCTTGTACGGGAATATCACTCTTATTGACTCTATATTTACTGCCCTGAAAAAAATAATGGTATACATAATTGCGAGTGGTGCAAGTATCAATGAGCAAAACAAAATTGGCGTGTAGCGCACGGTAGCTCAATTTGGTTGGAACAAGAGCACGGAAGGCTGTGTAAATAATAAAGTCCTAATTTCCGACTCGACTTCAGAGCGGCGAGTTGTAGCTGAAATGTTGACTCACCAAACTTTATTCCACGACAGCACAAATCCCTCATTCGCCTTCCTCTCTATCCTGATATCGGGATCATCAGACACTCGCTCCATGGAGTATCCGTCGACACTGATTATCTCGTCTCCATTAAGAATCATCTTCAATTGACTCCAGATTATGGATAGACCGATTTCATGGTCGTAGGCTATTGTCATGTCGTCTGAAATTATTTATATTTAATAATTATTTTAGGGGCAAAGAGTGAACTATGTCAAAGGAATTTCAGAGTGTTTGTCTGGTGAAATTTACCTATATACTAATACTTATTTAAAACACTTTAACAGTTTAAAACGCGAAATATATTAATTAAACTCATTTGAAAATTATTTTTAACTACAGCCCGACGTTTCGCATGCTTTGCAGCGCCGGAGAAACTCACCGCGATCACGGCTTTCAATATATAGATGTGTTCCTTTAAATATGTAGAACTCGCGAAACTACAGACGCCGCTACAGAATACTTTATGTCGTGTATAGCTAACGGTCTTTGTGCATAACTGACATTGAAAGTAATGTTCTCTATCTTTTTAATATTAATTCCAAACATGAGAAGAAGCACACAAGACAAGAAAAAGACAGTGTCACCCGATTTTACAATTTTACGTAAGACTTCTTTACAGCCCCCCTCACCCCCTTTCATTTTTCTTGTTATACGCAAGAAAAATGTATATCCAAGATGGGTTACTGTTGCTAATATAATCCCAATTTAGTCCCAGCATTTGCGCTTCCAAAATATTTAAACAGCTTTATAAACAATTAATTGGTTTGTCTCTTACCTGTAGCAAACACCATGCTATTATCCTTAGATAAAGCTAACCCTAAATGAGTATCAGTCTTGAACGAGACTCTCCAGTCTTTAACCAATTCCTTTCTAGACGCAGTCTTATCTCCTCTCCTTTCGTTTAACTCAGATCTGAAGCCTCTAAACGCTCTGATAAAAGCTAATAACTTCAAGTAGAGATTGGGATTCCAATCGAATTCTACTTTTTCTAAAAACTGGAAGTCCAAGAGGACAGAACTCCGTTCCAGGCATGGAACGCGCTCTATTTTACCAAGTTTGAGATGGAAGAAGGCTGATGATATATCGTCTGAGCGATGGCATTGGAAATTGCCTATAACAAATTTAAAAGGGTTAGTTATGGGCGGATATATAATAAATATGACGGGTTCATTGGTCTAAAAATGTATGGCTAATAATCAACGGGTCGTGGGTTCCATCCCCACCGGGTCTATTGGACCCGTGGGTGTGGGTGTTTATAATTTTTCAAAAAGGCTTCGTCTGGAAATCTGGATACTTCATGGGTGGTAGGAATTCAGAAACTTCGTCCGGGTAACGAACCGCCGTCCACAGAAGAAAAAGCCGTGAAGTTTAATCGCGTTCCGGTTTCAATCTGTAGATTTCCGAATATCTAAAACCCCATGCTTATCTTTCCTTTTCTATCAATAAAAAATATTTATAAATGTTTAAATATAATTTAAATATGTCATATACTTATGTGGCATAATTTTTTTTGATAATAGTCTTTGTAATGTTCATACAATCTTTGTATTTTGCATTCAAATACTGGAACACATTTTTCTAAATCAATCCACCCTATGTAGGAATAACCAAATTTGACATAGTACTAATATACCTTGAAAAGGGACGATTTCTGAAATCTTCAAGCCAGATATCAAAGCACCGGATTTAACCTTGGTCTTCTCCAGGGTGACAGCATCTATTCTTGTCATGAGACAAACATTATCACTAATAATCAGGAACAAATTGATGTGCGACAGAGCAATGTTCATAGTGATATTGTGGGTAGCCTCTGTGGAATCTGGAGATGGGTGCTCTGCAGGAGAGCCTCTGTACTCGTTGATACAGTCGACTAGTGCTAGTATTGTCTGCGCGAGCGCAGGACTCCATTCTAGACGAAGGCAGTCCATCATTGCTTCTACCTAATAAAAAAAAAGATAAAAATTTAAGGGATAAATAATAAAATGGGGCGACCATTAGAAATAATAGGTTTTTATTTATATAACCTCGATACCTTGGAGTTAGTAGGAGAATGCGATGCCCACTTTACAAGCGCAACTGCCAATAGCGCTGCGCCCCACTGGTGAGCCCTCCTCGCTGGGGCTTCCCCACGACCCGCACCAGCCCAACCTCCATCTATCAGCAATTCCGCACTCCATTGTCGTCCGTTTGACTTATATGTTTCTTCTGTAATCATATATTGTTGCAATGAACCAAAGCTATGTTTTTTATATAAAAAGTCTATCTAAAACGAAACTGTTTTTATTGAGACTAGAGTCTTTAATAAATGATGGTCAGAAAGCGAGACCAAAACTTTATAGTGAGACAATTTAAATGACATAAACAAGAAAGTGCTATCCGATTTTAATAGAAAATGTCCAATCACGTACAGTTTATGGAATAAGTTTGAGTTATGAAGTTTTGAATAAGAAACGTTTTGAATCCCTGAAAGTATGGTCACACTAGTTGGTTGTTACAATGTTTTTAATATTAAGTAAGACAGACAAACATATGATTAATTTGATGGTAGATGAAATGCCCCAGGCATATAACATCTAAACAAGTTGTGCTGTTGACCTATTTTGGACCATCATATTCGGCTTTTTCATCAGTGGACAGTGGTATATTCCTACCATCCATTTAATATCCAGCTTTCCGGAGAAATACAACATGTTTCAGATGAATTATAAATTAATTAGGAATATACTGGACCCGATAGGGATCAAACTCGGCCCCTTGCTTATTAGCCATACTGCTACCTTCACACCAACGAGCCAGTGAATTAAATAAGTAAATAATAACAAACCTGTAGTGTCAAGTAGCTGATCAAACTTGACCTTCAGACCACTGCAGCCAACCCCAAAGGCTGTAGTACCACGTCCGCAACGCAACAGCACAGTACGCAGCTCTGCGCAGCCTTGCAATGCGCAACTGCGCGACACACGTGACCACCACGCTTCTGCATTCCAGGCTGCAATAATAATCCTTGTAATTGTTTTGTCTCTTACCCTTACATAATAAATCAATATTCTTTGAAAGAGAAAGAAAATATGGATGTATTTTTTGGAACAATATTTTTTAATATTATACTTAGCTATATATAACATATGATCGTCTGTATAGATAAATGCATGTTGCCTAGCATTACGTTAAACGCAAGAGGTCCTAGGTTCGAATCCCGGGGAAAAAGCAGTTGTTCCAGTCGGGAAGGATACAGAAATCTTATCAACTACTTGTGTGTATATATAAAACCGATCAGTGAAATGAAAAATAAAATCCATTTGCCCCATGTCCACCTGGGGAAAAGGGGATAAAAAACATTGACAATGATTTCATACATTAATCAAATTTCTGCTGAATAAGAAACAAATTGTCTTTTAATAGGGTTTTATCACTATTTAAACAGTAGGATTAGACTTCCAAAATTGTCATAAAAGTGAGAACATTAAAGATTTTAAAAGAACGAAGAAGAGAAGTATAAGAGACTTACAGTTTTGCGTTACTTGGGAGATCTGCATGGCCTTTGATTTCTTAATACGTTGTATCAAGTTCGAGTACCAATGGAAAACAGTACTGTGATCATAGTTAACGTTTAGCGTGCTTATTATCAGGTACAGATTCAGTGTACCTTTTTCCAGCTGCAAGTTATTTAATGGTAATTAAGAAATAAACAACCCTAAAATCTAAATTTTATTTTCTCTCAATGTTGGTAGCATGTGTTTAAGTATTGAAATCTTATAATTTGTTTCTCAAAGTTAGTACAAAGTGTTCACAGGTTGGCGTTTTCGCCAATATTCAATTGGGATATGCAGTTGACCTATTTTTATTCTTACCTTAGCATCTAACTTTAGCTTGTTGAGATATATTAGAGTGGATTCCCGCGTAGCGAATTGTAGGCCATCCACCTGGAGAGCTACATACACCTGGGGCAGACGTAACACCTCGGCTCCCATCGCGCTTAATACCACAGATGCTGCGCTAAACCGGGAGTTTACCTGAAATTTTTTTTATGACATAGGAAAATAAAAAATCATCTATCATTTTATTTAAAAGTAAGTTTAGACTACAGATTGTAGTTAAATTACCTGAAAACTCTGCAATGACACTTCAAAAGTAGTCTTAGTTACGTTATCGACGCATCCTATTGTGGTTGGACCAATTTTTACACTAAGAATCTGAAAAAATAATTACTCTTTTACGGAGACTATTAGAGAATAGACAGAAGAACGATGAACAAGTGAAAATAGCAAATTAGAAAACTACTTCTTTACACTAACAAAATTGTAAATGTGACATTAAATTACAGGAGATACTTAGACTATATACATCATTAATATAACATGAAAGAAATTTTTGATAGTTACTAGATAGAATATTTCTCTGGATTTCTGGATTGAAATGCAAGATTTCTTAACACAATGTTAGATGCCTAGATTTGATAGCAAGATAATATTTTACATGTAAAAAATAAGAACCTTTGGAATCACTGGTGATAATCTAGGTATGAATGTTGCGAGGTGATCTTCCGTAGAGTTTTGCACAGGAAAATTTCTAGGCTTTTGCGAGTTTTTCAAAAAGTTGAAAAGGTTGTCTTGTAGCACCACTTTAGGGTTGCTTATGACTGTGTGTATTTTCTGAAATTTAAAGGAAAGAAAATCAGTTTTAATATTATTTTAAACTCATTTAAAGCAACTTTCACAAACAAAATATTCAGATCTCATTTGAACCTTATTAATATTAAGACCCAGATTGCTACTTTGACCAACTAAACAACATCATACCTATAACATCTAATAAACACATTACCTCAACGTTTAAAGGTCCATCAGCTTTTACTGTGCCTTCAACCAAGATGCTGCAGGAAGAATCTATTAATTCTGTCTGCTGTGATGAAAGTTTGGCATTTGCTTTTACTACATTGGCCGAAAAGACCAGAGCCCTAGCTGGTCCACCAGCAGCACCATCAGCGTGAATTTCAGATGCAGTTGCATAAATTTCCCAATTCTTGGTTAAATTGCTTATTATTATAGCCACATCAAAAATATGGACACCCATAAACTGTAATAAATAGAATTCAATTTTGTATATTTTTTAATAGTATCTTTATATAATACTTCAGTGAAATGTTTATGATTTATATTATATTCAGTAATTTAAGCCACATAATATCTTATAAGAGATTATTTTTATTAAATAATACCTGTGCAAACATAATTAAGCTTGGCGGAAGTTTTTTATCTCTAAAGTCCAACAACTTTTGGTATGTAAATGTGCTTAGCTGCCCATCTTGTAAAATATTGTTTTCCTGTGTCTCAATGTTTTCAACTCGGGAACTTGAGTTTTGCTTTGATAGTAGGGGCTTAAGAATAGTCTCCACCACCACATTCCTTTTTTCCTCTGCATTGTTTGTTACTTTAAGAGACTTGACCACAACAGATACAAGTTTGTTGATTTCGGAGTTAAAAAAACTGCTTCTGAATGATATTTCATCTATGTGCTGAAAAATATTTTTAGATACTTTAAGTATTTTACTTTTACTTTCAATGGTATGGATTAGATTATAAGTTTCTCAGGCCATAAGCACTAGAAAATATCCTAAAGTGTACACATTTAATTAACTGTATATATTTTATCAACCATTAAAATAATTACAGCTTTTAAAGAGTGGTATCATGAATAAAAAAATGTTCTAGTACTTACAATTGAGTAGCCATCTTTAGATAGATTCACATCGCGTAAAATTAGTTTGAGTACTGCTATTCTTCCAATCTTAAGTTTAATGTGATATTTTTGCTTGAAAAGCCATGATAATAGTGTGGGTAACAACCTGGAATTTATAATCAAAGACGTAAATTTAAAATACAATATTATGATAACTAAACCATAATTACACTTTTAATCTTGTTACACGCCACTCAAGCCGCTATTTCTATTTTTTTATAAGGTTAAATGCACTAAAAACAAGACAATACTAGAAAAAATGCAAAACAAACAAACCGGAACACTCACCACGAAACACATGAGTATATCACGATAAAAGTAAGGAACAATATAAGAAAAAGATTCATCGTTATAAAACTTTTATGCCATAGCTATGTGACTCTGTATTTTATTTGTTTTGATTAACATAAATTCTTTTAATTTAATATTTTTATTACATTTCACTGTATAAACACGACATTACTTTTATTGACAACGACCAAAACGACATTATTATTCGAATGACACAGCTGTGTTGTCAATTGTCATTTTGTCATTTTTTATTTGCACAATATAGATAATATATTTTGCTATAAGTTAGTGAATAGGTACTTCTCTGACTCCAAACAACACAATCAAATTGGAACCTATGTCTATACTAATATATATAAGCTGAAGAGTTTGTTTATTTGAACGCGCTTATCTAAGGAACTACGGGCCTGAATTCAAAAAGTATTTTATGTTGGTTAGAGCATTTTTCGAGGAAGGTATAGGCTATAAAACATCGCCCTGTGACTAATACAAGTGAAGATTTGTAAAAAATAGGGAAATTTATATTGATACCCAAAAAGATTGCTTCTTCTTAACGATTAAAAAACTTTTTTTTAGAATAACTGCAAGAACGACAGGAAGGCAAGACCAACGTCTTTGGTAACAGCTTATGTTTATAAAGATGAAGGGGGGTGCAAAAACGAATATGGATGCCCAAAATAAGGATTCTCTATTATTTATTATTTCTATAAAACACATCACAGATAATACATATTAATGAGGAAAAATCTCACATACTAACTTATAAATAAAAGGTGGCCTTATCGTTAAGTAACGATCTCTTCCAGCGCAACCTGATGTCCTGCAGGACAAGATATAGAAAATAACTTATTTGGTGGGTAGGTGTAAGGAATAACAAAGAATAGCAAAGATACATAGTAAAAGTACACACAACGAGTAAGAGAGAAACAAACTTAAATATTGGAAACGTAAAACTTATAGAGCAAACTCTTAATAGAACGCACTGATGGAGCTTTTTCTGATAGTAGTGGGAAGAGTTTTCCAAGAAGGATAGCTTTAACTGTGACGGAATTATTGAAGAAAGAGAATATATGTTTGGGAATAAATAGAAGGAGATTATCGATAGAACGAAGATTTAACTGGTGGGAACATAAAACGATGAATATCTCTTTTAAATAAAAGGGGGTTTTGGGATCAAAAAGGTCAAGGTAGGAGATGGAGTAGATGAGAATTCCGACGAGTTCGGATAGGGAGCCAGTTAAGCTTTCTACGAAATTCAGAAACGTGATCATATTTGCGAAGGCCAAAAATGAAACGGATACACGCATTCTAAAGCCGCTCTAGTTTGTCAAGTTGGAGTTCAGTTAAATCAGTAAATGACACATCACGATAATATAATAGATCTAGAATAGGGAGTTGGAGACACTGAGCAAGTAAAATTTTTGTAGGGACGGCAACTAAATTTTGAAACCATTTTAGGGAGTGTGAAGCGTCATAAATTTTCTTGCTTAACTGTTTCAGATGATGATGATGCCGTTAAGTAAGATCGTAAATTATTAGACCCAAATTTTTGTAGAAAAAGTGAAAGGAATGGTAGTACCATCTACAACTACAATAAGCTTACTACTACCTAGTCATTAATAAAATGATTTTTGTTCTGGTTTTTTTTTTTTTTTTTTTTTTTTTTTTTTTTATAAAATAAAAAATAAACGATTTGAATATAGTTTTAAACAGATTTTTATTCAGTTCAACATACCTATTATTTTATTTAATATCTACTACATAACTATAAAATTAGTTAACTTTATGGCCAGGATCTTTTGGCATTGTACCCTTCATATTTCTTTTTTGCTTTTAAGCCTGTTACTATGGTAGAACTCTGTGGAAATGCTGTTGCTCCATTAAACAATGTATCTTTATCTGAAAAAAAGAAAAGGCAAAATATATTTATCTTTTTTGCTACATTTCCTTATATTTTCTCTAAATTAATTAATTAGGCTGGTAAAGATATCAAATTCTGTACAATTCTTGCATTTTAAAAATTGTTATTGAACTACTTTCTTTCTGTAAAAGTCAAAATGCAGACCATATTCCTTTATTAGAACTGAGATACTTTTCAAAATTCTAATAAAGATGAAATTTTCAAATTTCTTTTGTAAGCATCAATCAAAAAGTGGTATTATCCCTCTAATTAACATATCTTAAAAAAAAGTTTGGTATTACCAGGATGAAATCTAACATAATCCTCTTGCACATGAAGGTTTTTCGGGAGATCCATTTTCTTAAGTGCATCAAATGGTGTCAGGACGTTAATCGGTGTCTCATAAAAGCTCAACAGATCATCTGAAATGATTAGGCGTTATTCCACAGAGTATATATTTGAATTAATAATACTCTAAATAAAGCTGGAATAGTTTTTTAACATACCAACTGTTTCAATTGTGTGCAGCAGAGAATTTGGTACACTATGCCCAGTCTCCTCATAACATGAATTAAGAACACTAAATTTGAGTGCAAGTGAATCAAATTCTGAGTTGGTATTTAAACCATTGCTTACACAAATTTTGAGAATCTTCTCTTCTATGTCAACTGGAGGATCCCAGGGTTTATTGGGTCGAAGAAAACTGCGAAAAAAATTTACAATGTATACTGAAATAATGTAGTAGTAATGCAAATAAGAATCACTGCTTTACCCCCTGGAAGCAAGAGACTCGGCGGCAGCCTGTAGTTTTTTATCAACTTTTGGAACCTTCTTTTGCTTATTTCTTACAGAATTGACCTATAACATAAAAATGTGTGTTTCGTTAAATACGAGAACAACAATAATAGTATATAACAATAAGAGAAATATCTACCTGAATGTTTGTTCTCGTAAAAGGTAATATCAAATTTCGTAACATGGTTTAGATATATGTGATAAATTATATATGCTTACCACTTAAACTAATTATTATAAATTCTATAACATTGAAAGTATTACTTAACCTATATTCAATTTGCAAAACATTAATGAATTTGACATATCACATTTAAATGACTTTGACATTGATAATGTACTAAAATTCGTAATGTCCGTTCAAGGTTCCTCATCAATGAATAAAGGTTTATTTTTTAAAGATTTTACAATATTACTCCAAAATACTATAAATGGAGTTGTATTTATCAGTTTTTTCAAATGTCATCCAAAAATGTTATAAAACATTTACATTAGAAGCAATTAATGTATATATTAAAATGAAATGATACATTTTCTTACTATGTAAGAACGTAAAACGAAACGTTCCACAATTTCTGGACGAAAGTAGTTACATTTTATGTCGCTAGTAGCGCTAGTGTCGGCTTGGGTTGTTGTTTCTCATCCGCCATTTTCCAGTCGCCATTGAAAGGTGAAAACTTCACCAAATGTCGGTGATAATTTTAAGATTTTGAGTGGTTTCTTTTGAGTTTGAACCTGTTTTTAGTGTTGTGATATGAAAATGAAGTGCCCTGGACTACCATGACGCATCAAAATCACCAAACAAACGGTGCTAGTCTCGAGGATTGCCACACAAACTTCTTTGCCTTGGTAAGTCACTTTTACATTGAGAAAGAAGTCGTAGCTAGTAGGTACTTTTCTTTCGAAACCATTACGTTTACAGTTTCAAGTTTATCGCAATACTGTTGTTGCGTTTTACCGCTTACGTGAAAGCAGTGCACCATACCTAGAATCATCAATAATATTCACGTCGAGCAAACGGTTCAATTATCGTTAAGTGATGATGTTACTCAAAATTCACCTTAATTGTCTTACGGCAATGAAATCGATAAAGTGTTTTAAATACTCTGCATGGAAGAACCCAAGTATAGCCGCGCTGTGACGCTCGTATGTTAGTCATCCTGGCACCGCACTTCGGGTTGTGGAGTCATGTCGTGTTGCTAACCCATAAAATATGATCGCATTCGTCGAGCGAGGCCGCAAGAAGCCCCCGAGCTCATAGAGGTCATTTTGAAATCACCTGGCCGTAACGTGAACCGTAATGCGTTCGCGGGACTAGTTTCGCCAGGTCGGGGAAATAACTTTCTTACACTTAATTTGTTACGATCGCTCCGATTCTGCGCCTCGGCCCACGATAGTGGGAATGTTTATGTATCGAGGAGTCGTGCGGTCATTCATTATCATCGTGCGGAGTCGCTTTGCGTAACGTTGATATGGCTGGCGCGAATTTTATCAGATCGTATTTGGTGGATTAGCGGGGCGCGAGGGGCGGAGGGCGACCCACCGCCCGGCGCCATTTCCACCTGACGCGTTGCCACTTCTCGCCGCTGCGCACCCATCTCCCTCCGAGTTACCGATTTCTTGCCATGCTCGCTTATTGTCTAATTATTTATGCATCGTTTGCGGACACGGCGCGGTCCGTCGAGTGGAATTCTGTCGATTGTCGTCCGCATCGCCCGGTCGCGGGTCGGTGACGCATCTACTCGCTAGCCTGACATTGCGCCGGGTTCAATACACCCGCTACTTTAGTAGATCGCGTACTTATTCTCAAAGAATGCACAATCAAAAGTCATGCTCCTGATAAACTGCACTAATAACATACATGTAAAAACTGCACACAGCTGTACAACTTCAGTTTATATTTTTATACATACTTAAACTATTGCACAATACCCCTAAGGCTGAGCTAAACATAATAACAATAATTTACCTTCACATTACTTCCCTTGGGGTCTTGGAAACCTGGAGTGTCTACTGTATTTGTAAAATATGTAGCTAGTATAATTCAAAAACTTATCTATTTAAATATAGATATATTATCTACAAAAATGGGAATATTTATAAACTTAATCAGTGAAAAATACATAATTCCCCAATGTTGCCCTTTACTATCATATACATACTTACATACAATAAAATTTTATTCAATAGAACAACCAAATGAGATAATACTAAACTATACAAAAAGAATATAAACAAAGTTTTTGTAAATTTTAATTTTGGTCTATTATGTATTTCACAATTCAATCTAAGTCACCTCCCTTTTTGTAGCCTAACTAGACTTTAAAATGGAGTCAAGTAGAACCATACTATTATAATATTTGTTTTAGAGGCTACAATATGTTATACTATTTGTTCTGCAAAGTTACATGTACTTAAGGTATTATAGCCTAATGGCATATTTGAGAATTGTGATTGCATAAAAAAATAAGGTTAAACGCAAAGACGCGCGGGGCCGGGCGGGCTGCGCGGGCGTCTACATTCATTCACCCGTTCACAAATGCGACACTTTCCCATGCCACGTTCAACGACATGTACATACATACACTTTACGAATGTAGAAGTGCACTTTTAAATGTCACAAGCTGTAGAAGCCATTAATTTTAACTAGGTTACTTCTAGGGATTACTATAAGTGGTTCTGTTGTACAAACACATATAGGCTAAATTCTGGAGAAGCAGTATAGTATTTCAGGCGGAGAAAAAATTAATTGTACTATTTTCTTACAAGATGTGAAGTTTCTTAATAGATTTCAGAAATACATTCATCGTTTTTAAATACAATAATGACTATATGGCATCCATGCACTGGATTTGTTTAATGCCACATCTATTATGGCTCTATATAACATGTTAGACTGCTTCTGGAGAACAAACAATAAGTGTAGAAATATTAAAATTCCATCTAGGTCATAAACCACCATCTCAAATGGAAAAGGTTTAAAGTTAAATAAAACTTTTGATTTTCAAATTTTGATTTAAGTCGGTGGATGTCTGAATATCCAAAAACCAAAATATGTTGACAGAGCAGCTTGTCACCTTCCATCAATTGATCCTCTGATGCTATTCTCTTACAAAATAGAGAATCTCAAGTTAAGAAGGATCCGTAAAAGTCAATTTCAGACTAAATACCTACCCAATCCAACATTAAACTAGTTGACCATAGAGAGAAATATAATCTTATTTTCCAACAATGTGTAAATATTGGCAGCTTATAACATATAATAATTAATTGTCTTGTAGAAATAGTGCAAACATAACATAAATATTAAATTACCTTGCTAGTGTTGTTTAAAACAATCATTCAAATAACTTAACAATGACTCTTTAAAAATAAAGACTTGTAAAAGATATTACCAATCAATCAAAGCTATGTTATTATTAGTCTAAGGTCTATTCCAGATTAATATTTGTTTATTGTCCCAACCCATCTCTCTTAATAAGGACCTATTTAATATTTAGTGACAAGTATTGCAGCCAATGCTTGCCTTAATATTGTAGGTTTCCGGCGCCGTTCCGACGATGGAATGGCCAAACTCCACTTAGTTATTCATGTTATCTGAAGGCGACCTATTGCCATTTCTGCAACCCCTTGGAATGAGTTCATTTTCCCTTTTATTAAAGATTCGTAGACTGAATTATCATATTGCTAGTATGGGGTAATTTCAGTTATAGTACTAAGTTGGTTATAGAAAAATTGTTTTAGGGTAAAAACATTAAGGAAATAAGTTTATGAAATGGGCTACCGCACATTTAATTAAAATTTTTTTTTTTTAATTGTTGTACAATGGTAAAAATAATTACTTTTCTAAATAATTCAGCTTTCAGTTAACAATTAAATTAAAAATACCTCAAAATTAAGAAACTTCCTATGAACTTGGGTCGAGAAGGAAAATACCAAAGAAATACAAAGTTGCCATAAAGTCAATACTTGTTAAGGTTTCCCTTTCATTTGAACCTTGAAACAGCTTTTATTTTGAACCCGAAAGTGATATTTTTAAATTTCACGAAATGTATTTGGCACTTCACACAAGGTTGAAACAACTTTACCATAAAGATAGGTTGACAAAACTCACCTCGAAGGAATCTTGAATGCTGACGGAAAACTTGTTCCTTATGTAGACAAGGTAATTGAATGCCTGATTACTTAATGCTTGTAAATAAGCTCATTTTATAGCTGATTGTTAAGGTTATATTAACACTTGATAATTGTATTGAATACAACAATATCTTGTTAAAATTAAACTCTTTTTTACTTATTGTGACTCCAATATAATTTATCGAAGATAACAAATTTTTAGTTATTATATCATAGTTATAATTTCAAGTCAGTAAGTATTAAGATTTACAAGCTGATATTTAAGTAGCTTCGTTACATCATTTATTACAAGGTGGCAAATCACATCTTGTCAATTTGTTATGTAGGGCAGGGGTCTCATTCACCGATAAGAGTACTCGCCAGCCACCAAGGTCCAATGGTGGTGATAATTATTTATCATTATCAGTTTAACCACTTAAATTATTCACATTTTACTTGATTACATATTATATACTAATATTAGTTATAGTTTAATTTATATTATTTTTAAAATTATTTGTTTTACATTATATATTATACATTTGTGTTTAGATAGGTTCAGGTCTCTAGTCTCAAACGTATATTATAGTTTGATTAGTACACGAAGCCTGTTGCAATCTGCTGTGGTTGGCAAACCTTGGGTCATAAATGTTTTCAACTATGTAACATGGCACACATACTACACAAGAACTGTAATCGGTCAAGAATACCACGTTTCTAATCAATGTGATAAGGGAGTAATTGCTGTCTTCGATCTTAACATTGGTAGGTGCAGGTGTTTATTGCAACGTTAACAAATCAAAACCAGCCATATTTTATATTATCAGAATAAAAAAGGTACTATTTTTATATTATTTCAAGGTGTTAGTTTAAAATACTTAGACACTATGTATGTTTTGACTGATAGTTTTTATACTAATTCTATCATATACTGTATGGTATGTTCACTTGAAATACATATCTTTACATGACATATGTCTATTAATTAGGCCCTACTAGATGTAAATAAAACTGATATGTCAGAAGTTCTTTATTTGTTACATGATATCATAGATAACACTGTAATTTGAATAGAATGAAATACAATTCACAATCACTTTTAACTTCAGAATGGTAATGATAATAGTATCATATTTCTGGTTTTTAAACACACTTGGAATTATGTAGCTTATTAATGTTTTATTTTCTATTCTGTTGTCTAGCTCATAAATTTCAAAGTACAAATAGCTAGTGAATCTTACAAACATTTAGGATAGAAGCAGTAAAACATATAATTTCTCCAGATTTCTTTAAATTATTTTGTTTTTATAGTTATTAAATACTTTGCCTGTTGTCATACATAATATGTATACATAACATATTAAGAAAAATTAAGTACAGTATTTATTTTTTAAGAAAGTATTATATTAGATTTTTAAAGGGTGGTAACATACATTTTGAACTTACATTGTATGACTCGACTCTGATTGTTAGATATGGCCATGAAAGTCATTATTATATTTTTCCGCTATCGAGGATCGCGAAGGTCGCAGACGTCCTTCACCCACATCCTATCCTCGCGCTTTCATAACAAACTTATTTGAAAGCGTTTCTAGTTCAAAGGGAAACTTTCTCAAAGCGCTTGGATTGCTTCGCTGTGCTGACTGCTTGCGTTACGCATTCGGCTTATTAATGCGTGTCTAACCGACTGCGAAGCGAGTGATGTTTTTGAAGTGTTTTAGAGGAAAAAACTT